CGACCTGTCAGCGGAGGAGGACCGCGAGGCGTATCGGCGTGAAGCCGAGCGCCAGGCTCAGCTACAGCTTGAGAGAGCCAAGGTCTCTCTCTCTCTCTTACTCTCTCTCTCTCTCGGTCATAATCTCATTTACCACTATGAACTCTATTTTCTGTTAAAGGGCCCATATCCAACGATTTTCTTATATTAGCCTGGCTTCCATGATCTTTAACGTGATAGTCACCCAAAAATCTAATTTCCACAATTCTCACCTTAGCACAGATGTATTTGATTGGCCAAGACATGTTTTGTAGTTAAGAGTAAAAAGTCTAAAGTATCTAACAAGTAATGGAAGACTAGCGATCATCAATTAGAATCATGCAAAGTTCTTGCCTAAATCATCATAAACTTGCCTCAAACTGTGCTAATTTCAAATAGAATTGCTTACGTCGTTCCTGACACTGTTTTCTGTAAAAATGAAGAAAGGTTTGTACAAAATTCATCTTGAAGATAAACTACTGCTACTGTGTTTAACTAAGTGACTTTTGTCCATTTTTGTACTGTTTACTTCAGCTGGACCTGATTACAGCGTGACGCAGTGTGAGATGTGCAGTTATTATTGTTTTTCTGAATGTTGATTTGTCCGCTTCACTGTTCTGCTTTGCTTCAATAAAACGATTGAAATTAGATTAACAAAGTGTAAACGTAGTCAGATAAAACTAGATATCCTTTTGGAGGAATAATTTGCGGTCAAAAGTAATAAAATATTGCAAAGTATTGCAATATTTAATATTGTAATACTTATCACAAATCTTTAAATATCACAATAAAATCGTACTGTGGCTCAAATATCATATCATGCGGCCGGCCCTAGTTTGAGGGTGGCGTGTATTTTGCATGATGCTAATGGGTGGGTAGAAGTGTTCATTAGTTGTTTGCTATATTGGCCTCGTACCTAATCGACTATATCAGGGTAAGAAGGATATTGTGCATATTACATTTTTAACTGAACTGCTGGTTTGTAAATAGCAGGTTTGTTCACACTTCACACTAATCGCTGCTGTTAGAATTAAAATTCAAAAAATTAAAAATACAGATGTTTGAAATGGTCTGTCCATTCTTTTGTGCCACGATTTTAAAGATCCTGTTGTCCTGTTTTAAAGATAATCAAGTGGGGTTTTAAAATGATGATTTTTAACATTGTAGAATTTGATGAAGTTCATTTAAAAAAGCCTACATTGTTCATATTGAATTAAGGTTTCTTTTGCAGTCGAAGCCTGTGGCTTTCGCGGTACGGACGAATGTAAATTACTGTGGGGCTCTTGATGAGGACTGTCCTGTTCAAGGTGCTGCCATAAACTTTGAAGCCAAAGATTTTCTGCACATTAAAGAGGTAAGACTGTCACTGTTACTATGGTTACCTTATCTGTATCGGTAAATACCCACACTGTGATGCATGAATTACTCTGAACTTTTTAAAACAGGATATTTCATCTGGAATTTAACGTTTAATGTTAATTTAAGCAGTCGTTGTAAAGTTTAGAATTGGAGGACCAGCTGACCAAAGGAGGCTTAATGCAAATCAACTTTTGCATTTATTCTTCACAAATTAAATAAAAAGCATTTTATCGGTCATTAAACAGTCACAGTTTAGAGGTGGAGGCTGTGCTGCCATCTATCAGGCTGTACTGACAGTTCATCAGGCTGAAGTGTTTCAGTGTAATATGTCATTTTTGTTTTCAAACTACTTTCTTTTGGTGAAACTCTTACACGTATGGTCACAAATGAACACCATGCTTATTTCAGATATTCAAATATATCAGTATCTATCTCTAGTGCTGGCATGTCTAAAGCAGTGGTGCTGTTCTGCTGTAGAAGTACAATAATGACTGGTGGATTGGGAGGCTGGTGAAAGAGGGGGCCGACATCAGCTTCATCCCAAGCCCTCTACGTCTGGAGGCCATGAGGCTCAAGCAGGAGCAGAAACAGAGGTAAGCAGCTCCTTTAGTGTGATTAAGTACTGGTCCCTTTGTCCTTCACTCAGATCCCCATCTTTTAGGTTTAGTTTCTCTGTAGTTAAGCGTTTTACAAAGCAGGATTTCTCAATAAGCCGAATAACTTGAGCCCAAACTGAGGACAGTACAGCAGACATCGGGGTTGATCCTGATATCTTACTGGTTTAGTTTGACTTCTGGGTTAAAGGAAACCTCAACTGTTAAAACCTTGTAGACCTTAAAATAGTTCACATGTCCAATACTGTTAAATTATGATGTATGAACCAAATGGAGTTGTTTTGTTTATCATAAAAAAAGATAAATAAACAAAATCTCTATTCTAGAGGTCGGACTGTGATGTCATATAGTTTCTCTGAAATTAGTCCAACAGAAAATAGGAAAAAGTTTTCCTCTTGGATAAGATCACCTTCAGCTACAATATGAAGAACAGATGAGTAAGTTTGAGGTAAATTAGATCTTTAGCTCGCTGGTCCTCAGTGAAGGAGAGCAGCCTTTTGATGCTGCAGTGATAATAGCAGTCTACAAGAATTTTTTTTCTGTTTTTGATAATGAACTATTTTGCTTTATTTTTAATGCGGCAGAACCCAGACTGCACATGTTTGTGCTTTGTCTCATCTAGAACACCTGACTCAGCTCAGAAGCTAATTAACTCCTCATGTGCTGGATCATGTGTGTGAAGTAGGGAAAACACAAACAATTTGCAGAGCCCGAGGTCACCAGGACTGACTTTGGTGACCACTAGCTTAAGTAATTTGGCTCAGACCAGTTTTCTAATCATAGTTTAAACTCAGCATTAGACTAATGAGGATATTGAATTGGATGGTTAGTGTATGAACAGTTTATTCAAAGGCAATACAAAAAGTTACTTTTGTTTGATCAAATCCCAGACAAAACAGTGGCACCATGCATTAAATATCTTACTTTTAAATGTATTTATTTAAAATTATTTATTTATTTATTTATTTTTCATTTTAGGCTTTTCTTTGAATTTTAATATTTGTGACTAGGGCTGTTAAACATAAAATAATTAATTGTGATTGTACTAATTGTTTTTAAAACAATTATTTAAATTATTTAATTATTTGAAAGTAATTGTGATTAATTAGACCAAATGATAGATGTTTTTACTTTAAACCACATTTTGCTCTATGAATAGACAGAATGATCAGAACGTATGTTACGTTTAATTTTATCATGTGAACCTGATCTGAGTACAACAATCGTGTGTGAACATGAAAACAGGGTGAGCAGTTTCCAGTTTTTATCACTGATTTCCGCTGAGAGCGGCAGTAGCTGCATGTTATACTGCCAGGTTCCGTCTGGTTTTGAGGGGAACTGGAGCTTTTCTGCTTCCCTGTTGCTTTTGTTAGTTTCTCCAGTAAGAAATGTGTGGCCTGCTGAATTACTGATGTTGCTGCATCATCGGTGAGTTTGGCTTGTAACTGATACTTCAGACTTTGTTATCCTGAGAAATTTTGTTGTTGTGCAAGCATTATTCTTTTATGTACGACGGCGTTTTAGGGCCACTGTTAATAAAAATAGTAGACTTCAAGAACAAAGTCGCAATATTTTGAGATTAAAATTCGTATGTTATGATATTTCAGTAAAAAAGTCGTAATATTTCAAAAATAAGGTCATAATATTTCAAGAAAAAAGTCATAATATTTAGAGAGAAAAAGTCTCATTCTGTGTGAAATGAAGTTTCACAGACAGTAAGAATGATAATCAACATGATCGATCCACAAAGAGACAGGAGTGAGTGGAACTCCAGTGCCAGTACAGCAACCAGTGCGTTATGGCAGCCCCCCTACAGTTAGCCCACTTTGTCCTCCAAATATTACGACTTTTATTCTAGAAATATTACGACTTTTATTCTAGAAATATTACGACTTTTATTCTAGAAATATTACGACTTTTATTCTCGAAATATTACGACTTTTATCTCTAAATTTTACCACTTAATTCTCAAAGTCTACTATTTTTATTTTCATTAACAGTGGCCCAGAAACGCCATCGTATTTATGAGCATATTGTGGACATCTGCACTTAAAGAACGTTTCATTAAAGTAAGAGCGGAATCAGTTCTGTATAATTGGATTTAGTGCAGCACAGAATGTGAAATGTTGAGAGTTTTTAACAGCAGGTTTTAAATATGGCATTACTAACGCATTGAGTCACAAGATGGTGATATGTATCATGAAAATTTTGTGATATGATAATCTTGCCATATCATCACTCCTAGACTGGATGTGCTTTAGTGATAAAAAATCATGGCACTGCAGATTCTGGAAACTTAAGTTTTATTGAAAGATCAACTTTACATTTAGGCTGTATTTGGAAGAGAGGACTGTTGCTGTTGGGCTTCAGGGTGGAACTATGGATAGTTCAAAGGGTCAAACAAGAAAAATGCGTTAACAGCATTTTGAAAAATGAGCGGCTTTAATAATTTATCACGTTAACTTTGACGGCATTATTTATGACACCTTTTCAGGCTCTACATGTTAGTTTCCTTTAACCGTACATGTTTCACACCCACTGCAGCTGCACCTGCCTGAGCCCCACCCTGCCCTGCCTCCACTGAATCGCAATGCACCTGTTCTTAACTTACACAGAACTATAAATAGCTCATTTCACCCTAGACTCTATTGTTCTGTGTGTCTCCTGGTTGTCTGGTTTTCTGGGTTTATGTTTCTGTTTCTTCAGCTGAAACAGTGCAATAAAATGCTGGTATTTCCTCATAACCCTGAGTCAGGAGTAGAAACACACTATAATATGGTGTCTGTGTGCTGCAGCGAGTCACTCTGTAAAACCTGAAATATTCATTTAATCAGACCTGTCAATTTCGCAGCAGGTTTTCAGATTTCTTCATGTATTATCGCTCAAAAAGGTCTGTCCTGATGTTTAGGTCTAAAATGCAAAAACAACATTACACTAAATGATGAGAACAGTAAATGGTTCACTTTGGTTTTGGTTAGAGTTCTCTTTGAATGCTCTTTCAGTTTTATGCTCGCCATCAACAGACGTCATCAAAGTCGTCTGTTTGGGGGTCTAAAGCACAACCAACATTACAAAGTGCTCCTGCACGCGTTTCATTCATTTACACATTTCATCAGAGGGGTCTCCAAATCCCCAACACTTACACAGCCTGAACAATGGCAGCCTAGCACCACACAAAGGAGTGGTGTAATTACACAGTCTGTGTTCAGAAATAGGCTGTGATCTGGCAGAAACCAAAAAAGTTGTAAATTGGAATTTCCTTCTATACTGTGACGTCTTTCCCAGTGGAACGTTGTATTAGGGAGGGTCTCTGAGATGGCTGAGCATTTCCACTCTGTGATAAGTGGAGGTGGTGAAGGTGGAACATGATTTTATTGGTTAATATTAATTTGGTGATGTAATCAAAACTTAGATGTTTTAGAGGCATCAAAAGTCATTACATCTGAATGGAAGTTAAATCAAGCATTTAGTCTTTTAAATGTTACTATGAATCATGTTTAATGTGACCAGTGACGACTAACAAGGTGGAAAAAGGTCAGTTTTGGTTTCAGATGGACACACGAAACACATTCACCTCATTTTTGAAAGTCTGCTGAGAAACTGTTTGACTTTGTGCAGGAGAAGTGGAGGTAATTCCTCTTCCAGCCTGGGCGACATGGTGTCCGGAGGCTGGAGACCCACACCGCCCTCTGCAGGTGAGAGTGAGTATGACGAGGCATAAACTCCATGCTGCTTTGCAGGGGATGGGTGTGCCTGCCAGTGCTGTTCCTCTAAGAGTAAATATTTGTTGGGTTGAAGTTCGCTGAGTGAGTTTATTCTTCCTTTGCTTTCCTTTTCTTTCTTTCTCTTTCCCCTGTTTTCCAGTAGCGCATGACAGCCAGTTCTAGCTTAGACCAAACATCAGAAATATCTTTAACCTTACAGGAATGGGTCTAAGACTATCACAGGAATTCTGCATATAAACAGAACCTTCTATAAGTTGTTTCTGATTTGTGTTCTCTCATTTTTAAAAGCCAAACAGAAGCAAAAACAGGTAGGTTTGTTCATGCAGCTACTTCATGCATGGAATGACAGAACCGTTTTTCATTCCCACATCTGTCCTGTTTGGGTACCACACAAACAGTGGTAAATGGACTGAGGTACTAGAGTACTGTGCAAAAGTCAGAGACCACTTTTCATTTATTTAATTTCCAGTGAAAATGACTCTTAAGCACAAGTTACTTATTTTTCTGGAGAGATTTCTGAGGAGATCACATAATCCATTCGCATAAGGAAAGAGACAGAGTAAAATAAGTGGAAAAAACAGGAGTTTTCAAAACTAAAAAAAAGTTATGAGAAGGCATAAAGACCTTAGGACTCCTTACAACTGTGTAAGACCTTTTAGAACTGCCCCCATCAGATAAACAGCACTTAAAGCTTTCATCTCTGAGAGAGAGGAGAAAATCAAGCTGCTTCAGATCTGAAAACATCCACAGGTGTTTCTGTCCATCCTTCCACTGTGAGAAGACGACTCAGCGCTGTGGGTCTGAAAGGATGTGTAGCTGATCAAGAAGAACCTCACTGAGAAAAGGAGACGGACACAAATAAGAATGTTTGTTTGTTTGCTTGTTTGCAAATCAAACAAAGAAGCTGCTGTTGTTCCCAGAACAATGGACTGGCCACCCCAGAGCTCAGACTCCATCATTATTGAACACGTTTCAGGTTACTTTGATCGTGAGAAGCACAAAATGCAACGAACTTCTCTGAAAAACTGAACGAAGTCTCCTGAAAAGAATGTAAGCTATAATAAAGGCAAGAGGTGGAACTGAAAATGTTGATATCACATGTAGTTGTTGATTCTTCTGTGTAATTTTGTGTTAAATATTTTTTTTTTCTGACACTGGAAATGAACAGTTTGTACTTAATTAAATAAATGAAGGGTGGTCTCTGACTTTTGCACAGTGCTGTTTAAATACCATTTCAATTTCCATTATACTGTCTATACTGCATATTTAATGTGAAATTGGACATAATTGTTAATATAGTCGCATATATCCGTTTACATAACTCTTACTTGTTTTTCTTCTTGTTGTTTGTCAAATTTAATTTTTTTGTTTTTTTAGAAGATTTTTATCAAGATTATTTTAGAAGATCTTTTGGTAACACTTTCTATGAATGTCACCTTTGTAAGCATCTATAAACACATTCATAACATGTTATAATGCATTCATAAGGCATTATAAACATAGCTATAAATATTTATAAAGATGCATTACATGTTATAGCCATGCTTATTATGCATTATGAATTGTTAACATAATACATTATAACAAACTATAAGAGCTCATAAGTGGTATTTGTCTGCTCTAAGTAAAGTGAAGCGTACTGTACTAAAGCCTCCTCCAGTGTTCAGAGTGAGGCTTCAAGTTGAAGTATTTACTGAAGGATTTACTGAAACACTAAAACATTCGCAATAAAGCACATTACAGGCTTCAAATGTCAGAGTTTAAACTAGAGCTGCATCAGTGTTTTACCCAATGTGGGAAAGGTAATGTTCACCACCGTTAGCTTGGTATTTGTCTTTACGCTCTCCAAGCTGGGACTGACTTCTTTGGCACTGACATTATAACATGTTATTAACACTACTTATAATACATTATATTAACAGTTCATAATGTATGATAAACATGGCTATAAAGTGTAATCCAGTGTAATTCATTTTTTATAAATGTTTATAATCATGTTTATAATGCCGTATGAAGGCATTATAACATGTTATAAATGTGTTTATAGATGCTTACAAAGGTGACATTCATAGAAAGTGTTACCGATCTTTTTTTATTAAGATCTTTTTCTCCTGCCAGGCTGAACACATTCCTCCCTATGATGTGGTGCCGTCCATGAGGCCTGTGGTTTTAGTTGGACCTTCACTGAAGGGCTATGAGGTAAAAAATCCACATACATTGTAAAACAGTGTAAAACAAGACATTTTACACTCATTTAAAACAGTGTTTTTTAATTATGCATGATTATGATTTTTTTTCAATCACAGGTGACTGATATGATGCAGAAAGCTCTCTTTGATTTTTTGAAACACCGCTTTGAAGGAAGGTGAGTAATAACTGCCATCAAGAGCCAAGCATGTAGCGCCCTGATATAGTACCCTGTGATATATTTTTGGTGCTTTACATTTTTATATATATATATATATATATATATATATATATATATATATATATATATATATATATATATATATAATGTACACTGATCAGACGTAAGATTATGACCACCTCCTTGTTTCTACGCTCATTGTCCATTTTATGAGCTCCACTTACTATATAGGTGCACTTTGTAGTTCTACAGTTACAGACTGTAGTCCATCTGTTTCTCTGATACTTCGTTAGCCCCCTTTTACCCTGTTCTTCAGTGGTCAGGACCCCCATGGACCCTCACAGAGCAGGTACTATTTGGGTGGTGGATCATTCCCAGCACTGCAGTAACACTGACGTGGTGGTGGTGTGTTAGTGTGTGTTGTGCTGGTCTGAGTGGATCAGACACAGCAGTGCTGCTGGAGTTTTTAAACACCTCAGTGTCACTGCTGGACTGAGAATAGTCCACCCACCAAAAATATCCAGCCAACAGCGTCCTGTGGGCAGCGTCCTGTGACCACTGAAGGACTAGAGGATGAACAACACAAACTGTGCAGCAGCAGATGAGCTATCGTCTCTGACTTTACATCTACAAGGTGGACTGACAAGGTAGGAGTGTCTAATAGAGTGGACAGTGAGTGGAGTGTTTAAAAACTCCAGCAGCACTGCTGTGACTGATCCACTCAGACCAGCACAACACACACTAACACGCCACCACCACGCCAGTGTTACTGTAGTGCTGAGAATGATCCACCACCCAAATAGTACCTGCTCTGTGAGGGTCCATGGGGGTCCTGATCACTGAAGAACAGGGTAAAAGGGGGCTAACAAAGTATGCAGAGAAACAGATGGACTACAGTCTGTAACTGTAGAACTACAAAGTGCACCTATATAGTAAGTGGAGCTGATAAAATGGACAATGAGCGTAGAAACAAGGAGGTGGTCAGAATGTTATGCCTGATCGGTGTAAATCTCACTGATGTCAGAACAAAACATTTTTTAGTTTTTGATATAATTTGAAAATGTCTGTTGCCCTTTACATTGTGTGTAAATGTCATGATAACTGGACCAAAAGAAACAACCCAAATAACTTGGCGGGGAGTGGAGTCTGGCGCCATCATTCAACTGTTTAGGCGTGGGAAATATAACAATATCTTTTTCTTTTTCTAAGTTTTGCCACAATGTGCTTTATGAGTATACCATGAATATCAACACTACACTGACAAGAACACTGACCAACTGACCAACTGATCAACTGACCAGCTGCATTATTCATTACAAAAAGCGCACAATTCTTGGATTTACTGTAGCGCTGTTATTTTTTAAATGCAGCACTGTTGGAGATTTTTGGTCTATTCTAACTTATCTAATTTCAGTAAAACAAAATATTGTGATGCATATTGTGTATCATAAAAATGTCTTCAAGTATGATATAAGATTTTTATATCATACACACTTCAGTGCAAAAATATTCTAAACCCTACCTAAACACTGTGTTTTTTCTCATAGGATTTCTATAACACGAGTAACTGCTGACCTCTCACTGGCAAAAAGATCAGTCCTCAACAAGAGACCCATCATGGAGAGATCCAACACTCGCTCCAGTCTAGGTGAGAACTCTGCACACATATACAGAAGACATGTGAGCTCAACAAGTACGAACTACAAACCCAGCAAGACCCGTTTCATTGAGCCTGTTTTTTCTGTGGCTGCTCACAGCGGAGGTGCAGAGTGAGATTGAGAGGATATTTGAGTTGGCGAAAACTCTCCAGCTGGTTGTTTTGGATGCAGACACCATCAATCATCCAGCCCAACTGGCCAAAACCTCACTAGCCCCTATCATTGTGTATGTTAAGGTCACCTCACCAAAGGTAGGTCGTCTTCCAGACGTACAGTTAACAGTTTTTATAGTGAGCAGTTCAGGTGGACAGTATGACTTTTATTTTTATTGAAATAAATTGCATAATTTTCTGAGTAAATCATGGGTATTTTCAATACTTGTAGAATACTAAAGCTACTGTATGCATCATAAAATGGATTAATTTTTGTTGAGAACTTGTTAACAAGAGCAACCAGTAACTGCATAAACTGCATAGTGACACTGAGCTGATTATGCCATAATCACCATATTACCAGATATACCATCGTTTTATAAATACGTTTAGATTTTTCTCCTGTTTCTATCACTGATTTATAAAACCAATGTTCTCAGTTTATCATAGCCTTTTTAAAATGGCACCAGAGGAGAGAGGCACCACTTTACACATTTTGGTTTTTGCAAAATTATTTTTTTTAAGTATTTGAGCAAGACTAATATTTCTAATACAGGTAACACACACTTTTCTGCTAGAAATGGAAACATTAACTTTGTTTCAAGCAGCTGCTGTCAAAACACTGTGTGTTAAAACTAACCCGCTATGTGCTGAACTCTGTAAGCAGTGCTTTTACCCGACTGGCTCTCACTGTGAATTATCTACATGCTTCTTAAGACGGTCACCAAGAGGATGAATTAAATAATGTGAATTCAGTGATTTATGCAGAAATCTCACTGAAAAAAAAACAAAAAGGGGGAAAAGTTACTTTCATAGCACAGTCTTAAGTGTGAATCCTAGAAAATATCTGTCCAATTTCTGTTCAAATTCACAGATGATGTTCTTATAATACTAGATGACCAAATCTTGGTCATACTGTTACCTGAATACCTGCATTAAAAATCAGTGTTTAAGTTGTTCCCTGCTCTGCTCTACAGTGCTGCTGCTGCGTTCTGTCAGCTTGTATGCAGTTTATCAAGCCTCAGAGGGAGTAAATATCATGATAAACATCATCATAAATATCATGTATAATGAAAGTGTCTTTAAGTATTGTGATGTTAAAACTTTGCCGTATCACCCAACCTTAGCGTTGATCATAAGCCAAAAATGTGACAGAGTTGATTGCAAAGTGAGCTTTAATGTTGGTTTACATGGTTGTATCACTGACAAGTCACAGCACTGAAAACCCCGTCTTTCCCTTCTCTTCATCCAGGTCTTACAGAGGTTAATAAAGTCGAGGGGTAAATCCCAGAGCAAACACCTGAATGTACAGATGATGGCAGGAGATAAACTGGCACAGTGCCCACCTGTGAGTAAACACGTTATCACTGTACATGCAGTGTGTTTCACAGTGCTGTTATCTCAGGTGCCTCTCAGTAATAACACTCAGTAGGCACATGTAGCTTAATCATAATCAGATACACCATAAGGCTAAAAGTATGTGGACACCCCTCCTATTATTGTGTTCAGGTATTTTAGCCACACCCTTTGCTAACAGGTGTGTAAAAATGCGCACATAGCCATGCAGTCGCCACAGACAAACACTGGCAGTAGAACGGGTCGTACTGAAGAGCTCAGTGACTTTAAGTGTGCCACTGTCATAGGATGCCTCCAAATAATTTTATATATATGTTGCCACAATAATTTTAGAAAAATTCTGCCCTACTAGACGCTGACTTGGTCAACTGTAAGTGCTATTATTGTGAAATGTGTTTTGGAGCAACAGCTTAGCCACAAAGCAGTAGACCACACAAACTCTCAGAGTGGGGCCTGAAGCACATAAAAATCGCCTATCATCTGTTGCATCACTCAGTAAACTCACTCCAAACTACCTCTGGAAGCACCAGCAGCACAAGAACTGTGCAATGGGAGCTTCATGCACTGGGTTTCTATGGCTGAGCAGCTGCACACAAGCCTAGAATTACAATGCACCATGCCAAGCGCCGGCTGGAGGGGTGTAAAGCGCCGCCACTGGACTCTGGATCATTGAAACGTGTTCTCTGCAGTGATGAATCAGCTTCTCTTTTTGTCAGTCTGATGATGAATCTGGGTTTGGTGGATGCCAGGAGAACGTTACCTACCGGAGCGCATAGTGCCTACACTAAACTTGGGTGGAGGAGGGATGATGAGCTGCAGCTGTTTTTCATGGTTTGGGCCCCTCAGTTCCAGTGAAGGGTGATGTTGATGATATGCTTCCAACCTTATGTCAACAGTTTGGGGAAGAGCCTTTCCAGTTCCAGCATGACTGAGCCCCTGTGCACAAAATGAGACAAGGTTTGATGATTTTGATGTGAAGGAACTCCAGTGACCTGCACAGAGCCCTGACCTCAACCCCACCGAATGTTTGTGATGTTTTGGAACTTGGATTGAGAGCCAGCACTAGATTCTGACCTCACAAATGCTCTTTAGACTGAATGGGCACAAATTCCCACAAACAAATTCCAAAATGTGGTGCAAAGACTTTCCAGAAGAGTGGAGTGGTGTTCTAGCTGGAAATGGGGAGCGACTCTGTATTAATTCCCATGGTTTTGGGATTTCCAAAAAGCGCATAGAGGTGGTCAGGTGTCCACATACGGTTAGCCATATAGTGTATATGGCCAGTACAGTCTGCTGTAAGAATGGCTGAATATTTCTTGTCTTCATTATCTTACATTGCAGAGCTCGTCATTTGAAAGAGATTTACAAGTTTGACCCGTCCATAGTTACTGAACCCTGTGTGTAAAGAGCACAGACTCACATAGTTTTAAAAACCCAGAGTTGTTGGCCTTGGTACAGTTCACAGTTCTAGTGATTAAGACTTTTGCTGTTCCAAACCTCATTCTGACAAAAGCTGTGTTGCATGTTGTTCCATAGAGCCATTTTCCTACCTGTCGCTCAAAACCATCTCCTGTCACCAGACGTCCATCATAAGATATTTAATATAATATCTTCTAACTCCATCCCCCCACCTGTCATCTTTCCTCCACCCTGTCTCCCCATCAGGAGATGTTTGATGTCATTCTGGATGAGAACCAACTAGAGGATGCCTGTGAACACCTGGCTGAATACCTGGAGGTGTACTGGCGCGCCACTCACCTGCCAGGCACCGCCCCCCTCAACCCGCTGCTGGAGCAAAATCTGATGAGTCCACCTTCAGCCATCTCCAGCCTACAGGTATATACTTCACCACTTACATTGCACTTTTCAGAACTGTAAAAAAGGAAATATGAAGGGACACTCAGGCCTAAAAGTAACCTTTAATATGTTGTGATGGTCCGTCATATTCTGTAGGGCAGCACTGCAACACTCAGCTTCTTAAATGTGACAGAATTAAATACATCACAAGTTAATTCAGTTCAGTAAATACAGCAGACAATTTGAAATGACCTTAATACACTAAAAAAATTAATATACAGTCTGCAGCCAGCACTTCAAACCTGAACACTGAACATACTAGACATATTTCAACATGGAATTTCTGGAATATCAGTCAAACTAGAAAACAGTGATTCAGTCTCTATTCAACACAAAAATGGATTCCACAGACAAGTTCTTTCAGCTGACAGGGTGAGAGGAAAAGGAGTCGAACTGAGGTTAGGTTTCTAAATAGCCAGCTAACTTGCCAACGTTAGCTTTTAGCTTGTTGTCCTCCTCATTTGACGTCATTTCTGTTGTTCGTCTTTCTCTCTGTTGTGATGATTATTTGAAGACTGTCACCACAATTATATTCCTGCAGTAAGATTTTCAACTTCTAGCAGTGAATGTAAACTATCTGATCCGTCTGCGATAGCTAATTAGTGATAGCCTGCACTCCAGTATCCTCCTCAAAGCAACTGCAGCTTTTCAAAAGTCGCTCAGTAAATAACACAATAAGTAATTCTTTTGTGTATGTCTGTGTTTGTTTTACCAGTTCTAACCCTCCTCCTTCGGCAGTGCAGTGTCTCTCGCATTTGTCATACAATACCTGGTTTGGCTGATCAGTACTTTGTTAAGTCAGATGTTGATGCTGAGGAGAAATCTGGAACCAATCTTCAGACTTGCTCTAGTTTTAGAAAAATTATCTTTTTTTGCAGTATTTATGTTTATTTGTATTTATTCTAATTATATATGATGATTTTTACAAAACAAGAAATCTTTAAACTGTAAAATCTCACTGCAGAGGCGACTGCAGCGACACTGTATAGAGGCAAGACATGTTTACAACAGAGGTAGTGATGCTTTTTCCATTTTGGCCAAAGTTTCTTTTTAACTACAAACAAAAGAGATCAACACTGGGTATCTAGTAGGTTCCAATGCTGTAAAATGGCGAAAGTGACACGGCATAGTTATAATGCTGAGTTCAGCATTTGGAACCTGAGAATGGCCAGTTTTTAAACATTAACTCTCAGTTCCATTTTTTTTACCTGAGTTTCTGAGCTTTAAATGTTTGGTAAAAACTTTCCATTAACCCAAATGTGCTTGATCAGCCAAGACATTTTGGTACATAGTAATAAGGAGGAAGAAGAAAGACAGCAGTTCTAGAAGCTCTAACATGACCACAGTGTGGCCCAGGCCTCTGCATAAGTGACTACAGGTGCCTCAGATTAACCAAGGAAATGCGTCTCTAAAACAAAGTTTAAAACAACAGCACTCAGATTTAATGGAGTATAATGATGTATTGTAATTGCATGAATTATAACTTGAGCTATGAGTAGCATTAAAAAGTGTAGTATGATTGACTTGAAGTGATGGTGTGCAGCTCTTTGTGAGCTGGTGAAATGCTGTGGGGTGAAACATGCAGTTCTACTTAATGAGATGAAGCTATATGGACAAACATTTGACCAGAGCGAGCAAGTCATGTACAACCAGCAGGCAATAGGCAAAAAATATGGCTAGTGCTCCATCGGCTGGTCCACTCAGTGAGAACAGACAGAAATGACCAGTTGCGGTGAGGAGGAGCAGATTGAGGTCATCAGTGTCGGTTAATGTGAAATGTCCTGAGTGATCGAATGCTCTTCAGTTCTGCTCCTTCCTCTACTCCATTTCTCATGTTCCACTCTGTCTTGTCTACAGAAGCTTCAGGTGTTGCCATCTTGTCTTTCTCCGTCTGTGTCCGTCTCTCATCCATGCCTAACGTTTTTGCAGTTCTCAGAAACACAGGAATTAATCGAATGATCGCTTACAAACCCAGGGTGAGTAGGAGGGATGGCCTTCATGCTTTTCCCCACATTAAATGCAAATAAGAGCCGCACCTTAATTCTTCTTAACACCCACCACCTCCACCCTACACCCCCTCTAACCTGCTCCGCCCCCACCCCCAAATGAATAGCCATGGCTGGAAAAGTTCTGAAAAATCATATGTGTTAATATATGATTTTGATATTCTGTCGTATCAAAAGAAGCATGAAAACTGCCTGTTCCATTCATAGAACATGGAGACATATAGACATATAGCCTACTGTGTAGTTTAGCTGTGTGCTGTGTGTCACAAACACTGAAAAGAATAATCTACATTTTTTAAAAAAACTTTTTTTTATAAACGGCGCAGAACAGGGCATAAAACTACATTCATGCTTGGGTTCAAAACAGTCTTAAAACAGTTCAACGCCATCATGTCTGCAGGTTATTGTCTGACTTGTTAATGTTTAAATGTTTAACGTTTTCACCCAAAGATTTCAGTGTAATATTATAATTTCCCTCTTAACTTAATGATTCATTTTCTAGCAGTATTATCTTCAGTTACCTGACCGAGGTGGAAAGCAATCATTTTGAGAAATTAATCACTTACTGCAACATTCGTTATCAAGTCGTAGTAGCTAGGTTTCCATCCACATATTTTTTGGGTATTTTGCATTAAAATTAAAAAAAGAGTTGATGGGAACAGCAGGTGCTGAATAAACGCTCCAAACTTGCATAACAGTTGTTACGCTAGTTTGAGGAGGAAAAGTTATAATGGAAATGCATTTGCAAAATAATGTGTATAGACCCTTCTAGCAAATCAGTTAAAAAAAAAAAATCATAGGGCACTTTCTGCTGGGAGGTGGGAGGTGGCTGTGCCTCTTTCAGTGTGTTTAGTCTTTATACTTTTGCCATGAAAAATGTAGCAATGAAATTAAACAAAACAGCAACAAGAATTTGCTTAAATTTAATTTCACAGCTGAATGGAAACCTGGCTACTGTAAGACGTTTTGTTCTTTATCAGGTTGTACAATAAGACGGAGATGATAGTGCAGCTGTTTGAGAGTATTGCATTGCTGCATTAGCAGAAGAGATGGCGTAATACCACTTTTTGATATTGGCAGAATCGACTACTACAGTATCAATACCGAAACAGATCCGTTATTTTTTCTTTGAAAACTACTAAGCTTTCAAATCAGACATTTTAATTAAAACACTTCACTTAAGATGGTCATCTGAAAGTAGATTGTCGTGTACAAAACTACTCAAACGCTCTACCACCCAAATAAAAAAATACACAGCTAACAACGTCGCACAGTTATCTCCCTCCAATACTTGGTCCAGCATTGTCTGCTGATATCGTCAGATAAGACCACTTGAACAGTTTATTTACTGCTCTAAATAAACTGTGGATATTTCAATTTGTAAGATACCTAACAAGATAACAAACTCACTGCAGTGTTTTTCAGGATTTCTAAATTGACTAATTTCAAACCCATACTGGAATACAGCAGCTAATAGAAGAAATGTATTAGGAGGGTAAAGTATTAAGCTACCGTGGAAAAAACAGTGAGAAAAGCTGTAAACAGTAAGTAGGCTAAATGTGTTCTCTCATGTAAGTATAATGTCAAGTATAACGGCGTATAAATAACACATTATTTGATGATAATAATCATAATGATGCCCACAATTCCTAAATAACTTGCCGTGACTGATGCCCCTCCACCCCACTGTCCCTTGGCTGGTTTTCACTTAGTTCTTCATAAACTCCATGAGATGAATTCACAAAGCAGATACAGTGGTGGGGTTTCCTCCTCCTCCCCCTCCTCCTCCTCCTCCTCTGGGGTAACACTGTGTCAGTAATGACCGGTTCTATGGGGGGGGGGGTGCTGTATCTGAGGGATGAATGCTTTGTGAATGAAACCTCCCTAAAACCGCCTCCTTTAATGCAGCCTCAAATGCTAATGAAACCCCTTTTGCTCCAGTGGAAAATGTGCTGCCCCACCCTGATTTTGCAACTAATGCCTGTCGATTGATCACTGATGCTGTTTATGCTGATACAACATGAGTTCTGTAATCATAAATCAGTGTTTAATCCCTGGTCCTGGAGGCCCACTGCTCTGTACATGTTCCACACATCAGCTCGTTCACGTCGCCTTACTGAGTTACTGAGCTGAAGTGGGCGTGTTAAAGCAGGACAGTCGGCCTCTGGGACCAGAGTGAGGAAACACTGCCTTAATGACTCGCTGTCTTGGTGACATATATCTGTTCCCTTCACTTCATTTGTCTGTAGATACACTGTGTGTGTTTCAGGGCTCGACCCATATGCAGACCATCACAGATGTTTAAGAATCTAAAAATTCCAATAAACAATAATATTGGTCTGATATAATATATGTTCAAAAATTAGACGTGCTCCAGCAGAGCTTGCTGACTGATTATGGAATATGTCAGCTATGACGTTTTACTTAACTGTCATATATGATGGCCAGTTTGCAACTGTCAGTTATAAAACGACTATTTCTGGTCCTAAAAGGTTCAGGACTGTTGGACTGTTATGTTGCTCAAATGGACCATTGAATGTATTGATAGATGAGGTCAGAACCTGCTTGGCTAAAATCTAGCAGGCTAAACAGGCTACAAGCTGGCTTACAGGCTACACTGCTCCTCTACTAATCTTCAGTGTTGGTATTTAAATTAAAGTATTTACTGAATGATTGATACAAAATTAAACAAAAAAGTGTGAACCTGTTAGCTTGATGCTAAATTGACACAGGAAATCACATATAGATGCTAGTGGAAATCAGCATCACTGCAGTGGTGATTTGGTGAGCAAAAGCTACTTATAAGGCAAGGTTTCTGCTTTAAACACTGATATGATATTTTCATTATTATATGGCAAAATAATTAAATCTTCATTAACCCCCTGCAGTGACAGGTGATTTGTTTTTGTTGTTACTGTTCTTCAGTCTGGGGTAGCTTGGCAACACCAGGGGTTTCCAGTCCCAGTCCTGGGGACACCATTCTCTGGACGTTTGTTTTTTCCTCACTCTGATGGGCTTTTTGTGGGCTGGGTCAGGTGTTTGATTAGTTGATGTGTTGAACCAGGTGTGCTAGATGAGGACTGACATTGCTCTGAACAAACTACACTTCTTAGTAAAGAATTGTTGTTGTAATTTTAAAAACTTGTATACTTTATCATATTTTATGTTGTTGCTGTTTTATAATAGCAATAAGCCACGAGAGGCTGAGCGTCCAAACGAAAGTTCTTTATCTCAGACCGTGTGTCTGGATTTTGTGCAAAATATTATCACATTACCAAACACAGCTTTCTCATTAATGTTTAAACAGACATTAATTGGTGCTTCATCACTGATAAGTTTGTGTAAACTTGATTTCAGCTGATTTTATCAGCTAAACTGTATGTATTGGTCGGGCCCTGGTGTGTTTATGTGCCTCCTGTCTGTATCCAGGTCTGTCTAGAAGTGAATCATTTTTCTTAGGAATGAAAAAAGCTTCAGTAACATGTCCTGGATAACCTCTCTGGATGTCTCACTTCCTTTCGTCTCTCACTTTCTCTGCCCCAGAACCAGAACCAGCAGCTGTTGTCAGCAGGGGGTGCAGGGGGTGTGGAGGAGGAAGAGCAGGGAGAGCAGGACAGCCTCATGCCGTCAGACGAGGCCAGTGACTCGCGCTCGCTCCGTCGCGGCACTTCACGCTCCCTGCATCCCCAAGAGGACGACGAAGAGGAGGAGGAGGAAGAGGAGTGCGAAGAAGAAGAGGAAGAGTATGAGCCCCCCAGACACTCCCACTCGTACCGGGACACGTACCCGCCCAACAGGAACCATCCCGGCGGCGTCCACAGCGCCAACGGGCACGAGTCACAGGACCGGCTGCTGCAGCAACGAGACTCGCAGGACGGCCACAATCACCGTGGCAACCGGCAGCGCCCGCGGGCCTGGCCAAGAGATAACTACTGAGAGCCGAGTGGAGAGATCAGAGAAGGAAGGATGAATAGAGGAGTGTGAGTGTACGGTAGTGTATGGATATGCAGGAGAAAAAGGGGGCAGCTCTGCGGGGGGTAAAGTTGCATCGGTACCGAGGAATTAAAGCGCTAAAAAAAAGGAATGAATCGAATTTACTTGATTCAAATGTGTGCAGCATTTCTGCTAAATAAATATATTATATGAACACAACAAAAAAAGCTTAAAAATGTGTATGTTGGGATACTAAATTCACACTCACGTCACGTTCATACCAAATATTTCAATGCTGCTCCTGCAGGCTCTGCGTCATTTAGTGGGGCAGTGCCCCATCACCCAATCATGCCCCACTAAACCTCCTTTGGACAGATTAGACCCCAACCCCAAAGGCCCCTCCATGGTTTTCAGGTGCCCCACTCATCATCTAGTTCTGTTGCTGAGCCTGTAGTTCTGAAAAGCCACCATTCCACACGCCTGACTCAATATTTGAACTTTCTGAAAGATATTGCTTTAGAATTAATCAGTCAAAAAATATTATCTCTTTATAACAAAATGTATTTGCGAAAGACTGCGGATGAAAATACTAAAGTCGAGTGTAAAAAATGTACTGAGGTGGTGGAAAAAGACAGGATGTGTTCAAAACCGGCCACTCTGGACATACAGAAGAGAAAATTCAACAAACCTGCTCAAGCATCAGTCACTCAAACGCATACACTCCATGCTGAGAAGCAGTTCAAGCGGTCATCTAAATGAAGGGATGTGCAACAAAATACTATTAAATAAAACACTAAATAATAATTTACATTAATTACTGATCTGCGTTTCACCACAAAACTTTTACTTGCTTTACTGATCATTTGGGTTCTTTTAAATCTGGTTTTTATTGCTGGTTGTTGTCTTTTCTGACAGAAACAAAGGAGTAAATAATAACTTTAGCTTTGAGAGTAATAAACTAGAATTGTGCTCCCAAGACTACTTGGAAAGTGTTCACGACTACTTCTGAGCACTGTAAGTAAACAAAGACAAAATTTTGTTGATGTAATATAATTTATTTGTGGAAAATGATGTACACATTTGACTTGGTTCAGTGCATTACTGTTCTTCAGCGCACGGTGAGTTGCTATATGGGCTCCACAGCACCACAGTTTATTGCACTATTGTGGTTCATTTACAAGGCAGCTCACCTCTATTAGGCTCAAGATCATGTCCGTCTGGAAGAAGTGATTTGAGCATTTTCAAGTCCAACGCTGGTCAGTGTAACAGAAATCGAGCTAATTTAAACCCTGTACCTAATGAGGATCAAAGGGAACAGGAGAAGCACTTTTTAGCATGGGATATAAAACGTAGTGAAAATATCTGTAGCATTTTGTTGCATCTCAACCTTTTTTTTAGAGATTTTTTGTTGAGGTAGATAGTTTTAAAAGCATCCAGACAACTTTTAAGAATGCAAGACGTGTACATGAATGGTCACCTTTTTCCGTGATCATTCAGAGATGTAGCATACAGTGTTTTGCCCCCCCACCCATGAAAAGACCATGTATTTGCTAATGAAGACATTAATGGGAGGGGGGACCGAACAGGGTAGCGTTCTCGAATAGAGACGACTAGCGAGATGGATGCTGTTGTTTGCATATAACCCTCTTTTCACTTTGTCTTCCCACGTTTTTTTTCTCTCATACCCCCCTCACCCTTTTTGCTATGACACCTTCATTTGCAATGCTAATAGCATGTGATGAATGTAAGAATGCGGCGAGTATCTAGGCCAGTTTCGTTTGCACCTCGTTCAGAGGCCTTTAGAGAAAACTGAATGGAGAAACGTTGTTGCTCTATATTAGGCCGTCATAGACCCTTTCTTTAAAGCAGCCGATGTAGCCTGACACTCTCCGTTTCATTTTTATAGGAGGAGATAATATTTGGAAGCAACTCTGAAAAGATGCCAGGGAATATTAAAGGGATGCTTCAGCGTTTTTGAACCATTTACTGCATGTGCAGTTGCTTTCTCTGTGTTTAGAAAAGAACAGAAATACTGACTCAAAACACGCCTATAATAGAAGCCCAGTGGACGCGCTGCTTTCCTACCTTTACTAACTACAGAGACACCAATCAAAACACTGTCCATAGTAACCTGAGTTAGAGATGCAGCAAAAAAAGGATTTGGTTGAAAAACGGTGGAGTATTCCTTTACAGGGGAATTCCACCAAACTGTTTCCAAATTTCTACTTAATTGAATCATTAATATGTAACTCATTCAGAGCGGTGGTGATGACCTGGATATGCTTTACAGTGGTGGTGATGGCAGCCAGGGGTCACAATGTAACACAATGCAAATGTAGCCATTTTATTTACCAGAACAAGTTTTTACTTGTTTTGTGGATTATGCTAAAATTCAGAAATGTGTTTTTTGCTTTGGAACACACTGTACTGTCTTATATTATAAGCTCTGCCATTAATGTATTTTTAAAAATGTTTTAAGCCAAAATATCACAGCACCATATCAGGCAGTATGTTTAATAATAATTTTGTGTAATAGCTTTCTGTGAGGTAGTTTTTAGAGGCATTAAACGCTTATTATTATTATTCCTATCAGGGATGTACATGAGTGCTCTGACCATTAGAGTTGTGTAGGCTGTCTTCCATATGTTACTCATCCAGCATGAAAACCCACCAGTTTCGCTCAGCTATTTTTGAATGAATAAAGTTTTGTAGTGTATTCCTCTGCATGGTAATAGATTTTTGTGCAGCACCAGTGCTGTCAACTTAACAGGTACCGAGCCCCTAAAGTGCCATTGCCCAAAAATAATGAAATAAATAAAAATTTGCAATGACATTGTTTTCCCCTGCAACATTTTTGTGTTCACTTGCAATAGTTTTTTATTCCCTCTCCTAGTTTTGCATTCCTAAAATCCATTGCATTTGCAAGGAAATGCAAAATCATTGGCAGGGAACACAATGTCCTTACTGTTTTTAAACCCCGGCCCTTTAGGGCTTCTGTAAGAAGGTATTTAGTCTTAATTATCTGGTTAACCAAATATCTATTCATCAACTTTTACAAATACTCAAATATCAAAATTAGTCAAAATGGACATCCCTAGTTCCCATCACCACCACTGAGAACAACTCTGACTGTGAGTTTCTCTTTAGAAGTGCATATCACATCAGACAATGAATATGCAGCAACTTTGGTGGAATTTCCCTTTAAACTGTTGTATTTGAACAAAGAAAAGACAGTCTGGTATTAAATGCTATCACACTTTTGACCTGTTACGGAAGGGGATGCTTTAATGATGGAGTGATCTTTCTCCTTCCTCTCACCCTCTTTCTCCTCCTGTGGTGGAGGTGTGGGGACCTGTGGCTTTGGCCTCGTAAAGAGTTGCTGTAGGCCTGGATAAAACGAAGCATCATATGCACTGTACTTGTTAGACAAGCGTCACGCCTGCTACTTTAATAACTCTGACAGTCATCAAAGCAGCAGGAGTGAACACGGCTAAACCCCGAACCAGTTGGCTAAAGAAAAAAGAATGTCTCACTACAATGACTCGACTCGAATCTTACCTGTAGCAACTCAGGTTAAGGTTTATCCCGTATAGGACGACTTCAACTGGCCTTAACTTTTATTTCTGTGTATCTTCAACACTGCATGATTAAGAGATCATTATTTAGGACTATTTGCACATTAGGGTTGGAAGAGGACCTTAAGAAAACATATGAGTGTATATTAGAGTAGAAAAATCTACTCTCTTATTTTTTATTGTTTATTTTACTTTTTTTTTCAAATCTGCAACAGGATAATAGTAATGCATCTGCGTATGCGCAAGTAGTGTATATACTGAATGGGCACATGATATTGAATATACTTCGTTAGCAAGTCATTTTACTTTGTTATTATGGAACTGCACCTAGTTTTGAAGAGATGTTTGCAATGTTTACACAGTCGGAGTTGCTCTCTCTCAAAGTACTATGAGGTGAAACAAACCGGGACGTGCGTCACGTCGGGTGTCGTGTGGGTGTATTAACTCATATAAAGCTGCAGTACACTGTCATATTTCATCACTACATTTAAGGTGTATTTTTAATCATGTAGTGCGCTGTTTATAAATAGGTGCACTATGTTGTCTTTGTCAACCAGGAAACCGTTCAGAGTGAATGTACAGTTGCATGCCTTAAACACCACATCAAAGCGGTTTTGATTGTATTATTTCCACAAACTCATCAAATTTGCCTGCAAAAACTTCAGTCTTTTAGCATTTTAAATTTGGGCCCAGTTCCTGCCTATTTATCAGGAACAACTGGAGAATCAGCTGGACTTTGCTCACTGTGTATCTGAAAACAGATGTTTTGGTTTAAAGGAAAACTCCAGCACTTTTCAACTGAACAAGATTTAAATTTTTATTAGGTACAGTAAACCGTGTCTGCGTTAGCTGACTGTATGAGACGGAGCCACAGAGCATGTTGAAAAATGTAAGAGTATTTCTTTAAAAGGGCCACAACATGGAAAAACCAATAAAAGTATGTAACTATTGTTAAAATTTCAAAAAACTAACATACGTACAAAAGTTCCTCATCAATTCACGCTGAATTTTATAAGGCAAGATATAAAATACTGGGCAGCCAATCAGAACAGAGACCATTTACATACATTGGTCTTAAAGGCAAAATAACAAACAGCCTATTTAATTCTGAGAAAAAGAGATGTTGGAAAATAATCATGTGAAAAATTATTTATGGCTGTTTTGGTACATAAATCCACACCAACATTAAAACGTAGGATACGGGCCTTTTTCACACAGTATCTGGTTGTTTGCTTTCCCTGGCAGTGGAAACAGAGACCTCTAGTGTTCCATGCTCATCATTACATTGAGCTGGTATGATGAATGATTTGGTTACCTTTTTGCATAGTTTTGCATCTTTTTTACAGAAATGATATAGTAATGTAGAACATGTGATGATCTCTTAGTCAACTAGACAAGACAGTGGACGTCCCATCATCCTGTCTTTGTGACAGAGATTAAAACTGTTTACTGCTTCATAATTCAGCACGAAGGATTTTACAAACCTATGTGCACTTACATGTCATGGTGCTCAGAGAATCGTCCCCCATAACCGACTCATGGTCACTGCTGCGTCTTCATGAGCTAAAGGCCAGGGGTGTTAGTTCCTCCACACAGAGCTACGCTGTTCTTAATCACGAGTCCGTCTTAGTGTACTGCATCTTTATTTCCCTCTCCGCGTCTCACTGGTATCTTTATCTATTGTTCTGTATTTTGGGAAAAAAAGAAACATAGCATGACTGGAAAAAAGAAAAAAAATCTATGCAAGTGTTGCATGAGAATCTGATTGTTTGTACACTTTCTGATCTACTTTAGTAACGTAATGATTCTTCTCCTTGTTACGATTCCCATTCTGATCCATCTGTTTTGTACTGAGCACAGAAAGATGGGGATGTTTCCCTAAAAGTAAAACGATGTGAATGCTTCTTTATAATCTCATGGGCTTCGATACTTTCACTGTTTTTTTACAGTTCTTTTAAAAAGGTGCAGTTAGCTACATACAGTAAGTATAACGGTTCTGGATCAGGTGTGAGTTTATGTTCAGTGTGTGAAATATGGATATGATCCTAAAACTAATATATATTAACAGAAATTGTAAATGGTTTAAAACCATCAGTGTTTACAAAGGAAGAAAGAAACTGAATGAAACTACTGTTAACCTAGAATTTAAGATCCTTAAGATCCTTGATGAGACCGTAGTATGTGGGCATGCTGTCGACTCCAGGCATGAGGTCCTGATAAAACTAAGCCTTGCATGTCAGACACTTGAAAAACGCACCAAGGTTTATTTTCTGTATTTAGGCATCACGTTGTTTTCTAGCGGACCAATACAGTAACTACAATAAACAGTTTCTTTTTATTTTGGGGTATAAGAAGCACAACTTTTACAGCGGGTCTGATTTGATTGATTTGTCTGGTTTATTCTGTATGCAATACAAATGTGGAAAGATGCCACCTTAGAACATCAAGACTTCCTTTTCTGTATAGGTAGAGAAAAATATACATATATATTGCACTACTTATTTTCTTTCTTGATGTCTGCTTTGTAATGCAATAAATGCACTAGCTCTGACCCCAACAGACACTACAACGGTCTTCTGGCGCTGTCCACACGCCCTCTCGCCCCATCTTTCTGAAGAAAAAACATCTGCTTGATGCTGTATAGAATGCTTTCTATTTAAATGAACCTTAAAAGGCTAATAGTTATAATAAACATAACATTTTATGTACTTTTAATATTATTGTGGTGTCTTTATTTTGTATCTTGATGAAAAGAGCAGATCAGAGACAGACTCAGCCAAACAGGCTTTATTACTAGTTCATAGAAACAAATGTAATTAAGAACTGGATGATCTTAACAGGTTTAGCTGACTAATGAAACAATGACTCAAACTCTTTCTGTACTTTTACACAGTTTAACACCAGCATTAACAATCAATCAATAAGTGTAACAAAAAAAAACAAACAAAAAACCCTTTTTATTTCAGTCAAATACACAGAGTTCCACTGCCAGTTATTGGTCATGCTCTCTTTGAATAAAGGGGGCATTTACAGATTATAATCCATGATCTAATAGAGGTCTAATGAGAGGATCAGAGCAGGGGTCACCAATCTTATCCACAAAGGGCCGATGTGGCTGCAGGTTTTCACTCCAACCAAACAGAAGCAGATATCATACAACTAATCAACTGACTGAAAAATGAGATCAGGCTACTGCCCTGGTATCCCACAAGGCTGCTGAGGTGTTGCCTTGTCACTACTGTGTTATCCCAGGTGGTTGGCTAAGGTGTTGCTATGGTAACCCAGGTGTGCTAGAATGTATGTGAGCCTGTGTGTAATGTCTATGAGGGGCTGTGAAAGATGTGCACCTAGTTTCGAAGAGATGTTTGCAATGTTTACACAGTCGGAGTTGCTCTCTCTCAAAGTTCTATGAGGTGAAACAAACCAGGACGTGCATCACGTCGGGTGTTGAGTGGGTGTATTAACTCGTATAAAGCTGCAGTACACTGTCATATTTCATCACTACATTTAAGGTGTAATTTTAATTTTTAAGTACGATTTTAATTTTCTCCACATTCCACTCATTCCATTTATTTTGTAATGGGACAAAAAAATGTGTTTTAACGAACGCTGTATGAAAATCATACCTGTGATTGGTTCCAAAAGCATAAGTGCACTATTCCTGTATAAGCTCTACGATCCTGCAAAGTTATGTGGTTCTCAAAAAACTGTGACCTGAGAAAACAGCACTAAAAAGCGTAGAATAATGAAATGAACAGTAAGTTAGCTTCGTTAAGCCAACTTAATTAATAGAATCAGAGGAGATTCCACATCAGCCCTTTGTGGTTAGGACTGGTAGTGATGGTAGCAGTGGGCATACAGAGAGATAGGGATGCCCAAACGAGTGTCCATTGTGACCTGGCTGTGTGAACCCTCAGGCAAAGATGGTCTCTTCTCTCCTCTTCTTGGTGAGGATGGTTCCTGGCTTGTGTTGAGCATCCGGATGGTTGGCGAGCTCTGGTGGGCATGTGGACACAGGGCTCTCCAGGATAGCCTGCTTCAGGTCGTAGAAGACAGATGAGTCTTCTTTGGTCAGGAAGGTCATGGCCACACCACTCTTTCCAGCACGACCCGTTCGGCCAATACGATGGATATAGTCTACCGGCACACAGGGAACACACAAACCACAGTTACTTATGGGATCATTTCATGTCATTTGCATGAATGTTTCACTGTGTAAAGTCAGCCTTAGGCCCAATCCCACTTCACCCCTCGCCCCTACTACTTAACCCTTAGCCCTCTGTTTTGCGCGTTCTTGTCTTTTCTCTGTTAAAAAAATTACGATAACCGTTATATAATCTTACTTTAATGTTGTTTCAGTGTATTTGGTCGTTTTCTTCATAACAAGTATAAAAAATTGCTAATAGCATGCTAATGTCTCGGTAGCTAGCTAGCTAATTTTCCCGTTCCACCTTAAATTAGGAATGTAACTGCTGCACCATTTAAGGTGGAACGGGAAAATTCAAACAAGAATCTGGTGAATATCTGACTTCAGCTTCGTATCACTGAAGAATTAGGGGTGGGTGATAGTAAATAATTGCCCCCCTCTTTGAAGATCATACGATGCCCTAAATGTAACTAAAGCCCAGCAGTGAGGAGCTGAACTTTACCCTCCTCTGCTGTCACTGCAGACTGGCAGGGTTGCCTACAGAGCAGCGCTGGTAGCTGTTAATGAAGTGATGTTTTTTTGGTTTATTTTTTTAATTTGAGGGTCTCATTTTGTAGTGCAAGATTTCAACCACTACCCCTTGTAACTCAGTTCCAAGGGGTTAGGGTGACACTTGAAAACAAGGGGTAGGGGTAAAAAGAAGAAATGGGACTGGTCCTCAATGTCTTATAACTTGAATCACAAATTGTTGGAGATTCAAGAACTGTTTAATCCACCAAACCTGGTAATTCAATCTTTTTAATGACAAACTGAGCCGCAAAGTATAAATGAATGGTTTTGGAATTAATGGATGGTTCATATTTTTTATGAGAAGTAATTTCTCCCCATAATTTCTCTCTTGCAAGCCAAAAGCAGTAAAAGGAAGCCAGGTAAAAGGGTGGTATATAAATAAATACTCCAGCAGCGACTCACCCTCAATGTTCTTGGCCATGTCATAGTTGATGACCATGGAGACGTCCTGGATGTCGATACCTCTACCAGCCACATCAGTGGCCACCAGGATGTCTTTGGCTCCAGCCTTCAGGTTGGACAGAGCGAACTCTCTCTGCTCCTGTCCTTTGCCACCGTGCAGTGTACAGGCATTGTACTGAGGAGGGGAAACAGAAACAGAATGTGTTCAGAAGCATCTAAGCTACTCAATGTGCCTGAAAGTCAAGCTGAAACAGAGACTAACAGCAGCGTCTGATAGTAATTTGGCACTTACGCCCATTTTCTCCAGAGACTTGGCCAACACGTCGCAGCCCTTCTTCTGATTGACGAAGATAATGATGGGTGGCTCAAAACCACGCGAGAGGACTTCCAGAAGTTTCTTCCTGTTTACAGCACACACAGAAAATCACAGATTAACAGGCCTGTTTAAGTTGTAGAAACATCTGATGTTGTATGAAGAAGTCTAAGTGTTCTGAATGCTGCATGTATGAACGTGTGCGTTCTGACCTCTTCTCAGCCTCCGACATGAGGATGACCTTCTGTTCCACTCTCTCATGTGGTTTGCCTGCAGAGCCAATGTAGACCACTGCGGGGCGCCGCAAATAACTTCTGGCCAATCGTTCTACAGCCGGAGGCATAGTGGCTGTGAACATGACCGTCTAAAGAGACAGAATCAGGATAGAAAAACAAGGAGAAAAGCATATTATAAAACTGTAAATGTACCATAAATATGTATCATTGTATTATTAATTCATATTTTCAACACTTTTCAGGGTTTTCGTCAGACTATCTGACCAAGTGAAACTGCATGTCCTGGTTCTATAAATCAGTGTTTTTGAAATGCCATGTTCTGCTTTTGTGTTTAGGCTCTTCTGACCTGTCTGTATTTGTGTTTGCCAGACTCGAAGTTCAGCGTCATTTTTTCTGGATCCTCAGCTTCATCTGTGTCCGGTTTCTGATTGGTCACAGGGATATATTCCAGAATCTTCTGGACGTCGGGTTCGAAACCCATGTCAATCATCCTGTCAGCCTCATCCAGTACCACGTATGTGCACCTGCCGAGCACCAGGTAGCGATTCTCCAACACGTCAATCAAACGACCCGGTGTAGCGATCACTATCTGAAGATGAAGAAGATCAAGAAAAATCCTCAGATCTTGAGCTCCATATGTTGACATACTGTATTTCATGTAATACAAAACACAAATAAATTGAACTTGTTTTGTTTAAATGATTAACCAATTACCGGACAAACGAACAATTATTTGACAAAAGCCATCAGTAAAACCCTTTTTTTAAAGCCAGAATTCCTACATGAATTTGCAGGTTTACCATTCAAGTTGAGGAACGTTCTGAATTATACATGAGGGTGCAATAGGTGCAAGTAGTTCTTCTAGACAGACTTACCGAAAAATGAAGCATACAATAAACAAGTTATATTTGAGACATTCATATAGGGCAGATGACAATAACACAGCTACAGTGACATCATATTAAAAAGCAAATATCCACAAATAATAAGACAGACAACAATTTCGTAGATGATCTCTGAGAGAATGTGACGCACATTGGTTTTTAAAGTAGACACATGTTCAACACATGGTGGATGGTGACGGCTTTGAGCCCTGATCACGATGTTTATGTGTATGCAGAGATGCTAGTTTAGTTCAGGATATTGAACTTTCGGTTCCAATGTTTTATAATTAACTTATAATCAAAGTGTGTGTGTGTAAGTATGCATATGTGTATATATATATATATATATATATATATATATATATATATATATATAAATATAAACACACACACACACACACACACACACGTCTCTATATCATGTATTTAAAAGTGGCTTTAAATGTGGCCAAATCAGGTTTCAGAACCAGAACCATCTGTTTTATTTATAAAAGTGTAAACTGCTGACTAATGACAGTCCGTTATCAAAAAAAGCCAAAATCTGCATCCTTACTAATGTTTAATCACTAAATATATTTGTATGCAGTAGGGTAGAAAACTGAGGGCCAGATTTGAGCAGAGTTTGGTGTTTTACCTGCTCTAGCGCACCAACTAAACCTGGAAATTAACTGCTGGGTTGAATCAGGTGTGTTTGAGCAGGAAAATTACCAAACTGTGCAGGAATCTGACCCTCTGGTACCGGAGTTTCCCACCCCTGGTTTATAGTGATTAAACCCACAAGAAAGCACACGCCACATTTTTTGCCTTTAAAAACAAACAAAAACATGAAATCAGAGGTAAAAAGAAAAAGTAGCCGCTGACCTCGCAACCCATCCTAAGTCTGAAACCTTGGTCCTCTCTAGAGATTCCTCCAATCACAGCCACCGTCCGGATGCCCAGTGGTTTGCCAAACTTGATGGTCTCTTCTTCAATCTGCTGGGCCAACTCACGGGTGGGGGCTAAGATTACTGCATACGGCCCCTGATCGGAGTCCTCAATCCTGACAACAGTAACACAAGTACACTAGCTCTTCATCTGTGCTTTGACATTAATTTTAATGTATTATTAGAAATTTCACCACTTCAGCTTTTTGTTCAACATAAAAAAGCATGAAGATAAAAAAAGTAAAAACAAAAATAAACAGCAATAACAACCATTTTTGGCTTCACTGTCACAGTGTTGACTGAAACACTGAATTCTGAGTTTGAGGATAGAAGTCTTGCTCATCTCACCTGTCAATCTTTGGCAAAGTGGTAATCCAGACCAGTAAGGGAATGAGGAAAGCAGCAGTTTTACCGCTACCAGTCTCGGCCACGCCGATGATGTCACGGTTCTGTAAGCCAATAGGAATGGCCTGTCTCTGGATGGGTGTTGGTTCCTAATGAAACATAAAATCATTAGCCATTTGAAAATAAAGCCTGGGCAGACCAAAACAACACGCAGCATTTATTTCAGGACTAACTGTCGAGCAAAATCAATTAGTCTGTTTATTCAGTATCGAACTGACCTTGTAGCCACACTTGTCGATGACCTCCAAGATGTGAGGGGGCAGGTCAAACTCCTTCCAGTTGCGGATAGGGTTGGGGATTTTGCCTCCCTTGGTGGTGATGCTGTAATCCTCCCGAAAGATTCTCCAGTCCCTGTCTGTCATCTCATCCAGCTTCTTCTGAGACCAGTGCCTGTCGTCCCAGCGCTGCTTGGCCTCCTTCTTGCGCATCTTCTTCAGACGCTGCCTGCACAGAGACACAGGAGAGAGCGGCCACTTTAGAACAGAACCACATACCCTCTCATATTTTACAGCTTCAAATGAGGCCAAGTCAGGTAAATCTTCACTGTGGTTTAAAAGAGGATGGCTTGTTTGTGTATGAGGGAGTGAGAGACAGGGAGACGGAGAGAGAGACACTCACTCTTCCTGCTCTTTTTCCTCCATGGTGCGCCGCTTCTCCATCAGGTCGCCATAAAAACGAGACTGATCTCTCTTCTGCTGTTTGAGGTCAATTCCTGCAATGAAACCACGACCATACAGCTGCACCTGGTGCTTCTCCTTATACCTGAACACAAACACAAAGACTTCAACCACTGGAAGGAAACAGACTCATGATACCAATGCAAAAATAAAACGACTGATTAAATAGATGATTTTTCATCATTCGCCATCTCTTCACTCAAAATTCAGGGTTCTCGTTGTAATAAACGCAGACAGTGAAGCCAAAAATGGTTGTTTTTCTGTTTTTTGGTTTTTGTGTGACTTTTTTTCCAGTTTAGGTGAACTAAAATCTAAAGAGTTATCTAAAACAGAGCATCCAAAAACAAAAAACGTGCACCAAAAATTGCAGAAATAGCCATATATAGGTTTATTCCCCATAGATGTGTTAGGATGTGTAAATTTACCCAGGGGTGTTGTTTTAAATGTAAAACCACTGTTGCTCTCTCTGGATGTCTGAGATGAAAATTTAAAACTAATTTAATCGTTCAACAGCCCTTTCCCAAAACTATAAAACAGACAAATCCAAAATACAAAAGATGAAATTTATGTTCATCTTTTTATCTGTTCAAGGCAGCAAAAATACACAGCAAAATAAAATTTGACTTCACTGTCTCTGTACATCTGCAGGGCACTGACTCTTACAGTGGATTATAGTCGATTGAGGTGTCCTCAGAAGCGTCCCACTCGAACACAAACTTCCTGTCGTTCAGGTGTCGAGTGCGCCGCCGTTTCTTCATTCCACCTAAATAACGCTCCTGAGAATCAAACAGGTTAATGCTTGAGACATGTTGCTATTACTGAAGTACATTTTGGTGAAATACAATCTCGCGTTACTTCTGTATGTTAACATGTTGCATGGTTACATTTTTCAAACTATACTTTGTCCTTTACAGGCATCACTTACAGGTTTTATTTATCTATGTATTTGCTAGCTAAAGATCCTCACTTTGATGGCCTGCAATTCTTTGCTCTTGTCCTTCACTTCCCGTATCTTCTGTCGTTCTTCATCGTCTTCGTTTCCATTGTTTTCTCTCTCCATTCGTTCCCTGCGTTCACGCCGCTCACGCTCTTGAGGATCCTCTGTGCCACACAAAGACAATCACGTCACAAAGGGTCACTTTTGCCACTGAACACGTTGCTTTTTAGACAAAGACTTCTGAACGTTACTACAATAAAGCTGTGGTTCTTTAATTTACTGCTATGCCTTTTACGTTATGTCACAAATGTGTGTTTTGACAAAAGTGATTTTTCAATTTTCTACTTTTGAAAGAGAGATTTTTCAATCAGGAAACTGTTGCCAATTTGTTGCCAAAATGTTTACTGCAATAAGATACAAATAAAATGTTCATTTAAAATAATAATACAGTTTTAAACTAAATCATCTCAAGGAAAAATAGTACAAAGTCATACTTCTTTTGTACTAATTTCTAAACTGTGAACTGCTGTTAAATATGTTTTCAGTACTAATCTAAATCTTTGCTCTCTGCACCGGCGTAAAATATGCTTTAAGGACACAGTGATGGTCATAATGTCCCATTATGTCACCTAGTCCTAATTACCACCGCAATGACTTTAATATACAGACCATGAGTTAATACTTTAAATTTGGACTCATCACTCACATCTTCAAACTAAAAAGCATATTTTTCCGTTATTAAATAATCCATCAATGTTAAGTGACTTTAACTCTCACCTAACATCTTTCTGCCAATGTCCTGGAACACCCTCCTCTTCCTCCTCTCCTCATCGATCTGCCGGCGGCGTTCCTCTGCTAAAACCTCCCTGCGTTTCAGAGCCTCTGCCTCTCGCTCGGCTTTAGACAGGAACTTAGGCTACAGAAAACAAGTATTACGAATACAATGAGTCAATGTGCAAATATATCATCAGTGTTACTGTCGAATGTATACATACACCGTGAGATTCACTCGAAAGAGGCCCTGAACATTCTGTAATAACTCTCTCTAGGACGAAGCAATCTGAACCAAACAACATGTAATGTGCTCCTCAGTATATGGGGCTGCGAACGGGATGCCCCTGTCGGAGCGATGAGGTAGGCGCCGGACAGCCTTCGCAACATTTAACCTCCGTTTGCATGGAGCGCCACGTCGAAATGTGTCTGGCAGAAAACGGAGATCACTTCCAGCATCGCATGTAATGCAATCGATTACACACACGTCAAGGTATGTAGTGCATTTTTTTGGTTCAGATGGCTTCATCCTAATGGGAGTTACAACAGAATATTCGGGGCCTCTTTTGAGTGAATCTCACAATGAACGTAAATTAATGTCATTTATTTGAAAAAAAATCAAGCCGCAATAACCTGGCACATCAAATTAGGAATATTCAATTTTTCTGATCCTTTTATAGGACTTTATCTCACCTTGGCCTCTGCCTCCTCCTCTGCTTTCTTCTTAGCCAGCAGCTCCTCCAGAGACAGGGGCTGCACCTTTAAACAGCAGATTGAAAGAAGAAATGAGAAACACACAGAATGCATTTAACCGAGCCATTTAAAAGCGAAGCAATCTCTGATGGGGTACCTTCTCTTTCTTCTTTTCCTCCTCATCCTCTTCTTCTCTTTTTACATCTTTTTCTCTCTTTATTTTTCCATCCTTTGATCTAGGAGAAGAGCTTCTAGGAAGACAGAACAAATGAGTGGGTCAAAATAATACCACTGCTTCTGTTTCTCAGGCCTGGCATCTATCAGAAAATACCTGTAAAGATTGGCACTCAGGTCACTGAGAAAACAGTGCATACCTGGATCTCTTACTCCGATCTTTGTCCCGTCTGTGGCTGTCCTTGTCTCTGTCTCGGTCCTTACGGCTTCTGTCTCTGTCCTTATCTCGGTCTCTTTCTTTGTCTTTCTGTCGCCGATCTCTGGAGGCAAAAACACAAAAATGGCTTCAACCAAAACACCAGAATTTACACTAAAAATAAATACACTATACATCGTCCTATAATGTACTGGTTTATACATATTTTAACAAATGAACTCTTTATTAGCAGCTCCACACAAAAAAGTGATTAAATACCTGTCTGCAGATTTTGAACGGCTGCGGGAGCGTTTGCGTTCACGGGAGCGATGACGCTTACGTTCTTTCCCTGGAGAACCCTTTCTATCTCTGTCCCGGGAACGTGAGCGGCTCCGCTTTCGCTCCTTACCCCCTGAGCTATCCAGGTCTCTTTTTTCAGAAGAGTCTCCAGCCATCTGTACATACAAGTGGTAAAGAATAAGAAAACACGTACCTCTAATGTAAACAGACATTTGCAGTGTTGTTTATGTTATTTGTGTAATAAGAAGTAGATGTAGCAGAGGTGATGTCATAAAACTATGTTTTCAAAACTACGAACAAATGTGACAGCAGAATAGACGCAGGATGGTTGACTTAATTAATCAATTATTGTATTTTAATAATTGTACAGTCAAAATCATAATTTAAAGAGTGCAACTGTTAAATCGCAAGAGCTGCCATTTTAATTGTGGTCTACATTATAAACAGCTCTGAATGTGATCAAATAACATGCAGCTGGTTAAGAATACGAGTCAAACAATCACAAACTAAGAACCCACTTCCTGTGTACCTGACAAAACAACCACACTGGCACGGCCACACTTCATACAGCATTCAACCCTCAGGCCAGCAAAAGTAGATTATGCTGGTCTTTTAAGGTAATAAAACAACCTTAATTTACAGAAGAGCGAGTTGGGTGTTTCCTCTGAAGCCTGATCAGAGGTCCAGCTCTGTCCTGAACACGGTGCGCAGGATTAAACGCAGCTCCAGATCATTAGATCGGCTAATAACGTTCTGTTATCAGCTGCTGGTGCCGTTCGATAAGCTGAAGCTCAGCTCAGACAGTCGCGAGCTGGTTTAGTTACATATAACAGAACCGAGCCCAGTCAGTAAACCGAGCCCAGTCAGTAAACCGAGCGGCACCGCGGCCTCTGTATTAATGCCGTGCTCAGCCCCGCGAGCGCAGTTCACGCTAGCTACGCTACCACGCAGCGCTCAAACACATAAATGCACGACAGCTTCCGCTCCCCGCCCCACGCTTCACGGGACAGAACCAGGGTCAGTGGGCTCTGAGCTGTTCTGTGGTCTGAAAGCCGGGTTCACTCAGTAACTCACCCTCTTACTGCACAGACGGGGCGCTTACGCAGCCTGCTCGTTTCACCAGGCAGACATATTGTTGGACATCAACATATGACGAACGTCCGGTAGAGGATCATGGGACTTGTAGTTTATCTGTGAAGGACCTCTACGGAAATCTCAAACAAAATCTAAATGTCGAGGATTCCAAATATGAGCAGCGCAAAACACATCATTCTTATTCGGAAAAAACAGTAAATATCACAACTATTGGTAAAGGCCAGAAATGAGCAAATAACTGCGTTATAGCTTATTTAATGAACTGCGGTGACCCCTGGGTCAAACAGCTGCGCTTTCGGGTCAGAATGATAAGAAGCGCAGCTGTTCACTAAATGAATGCTGACTTAGATTATTGACGGTTTGCGTCTTTATTTAAACCTTATTACTGATGACAGGCTTTGGTTTGAGGCCGTTACCTAAACTGTAATCATACTTTCAACCTAAGATGTTATCAAAATATGTAAACAAATAAACAAACATGTAGGTCAGCTTTGCTCCCAGAGGCTGGGCAAGGTTAGCAGGGGCGCGTGCCATTGTGTTTGCTATTGAGTGCTGCTCCGCGCGGGAGGTGGGCTGGACAGCTGTTCTAGAAAGCTGGACGGTCCAGGTTGCTCGCCTCGCCCCTCACAGGCTCTCTTGTGATATATGGCCAGCGGGGGCTTCAAGCCGCACCTGAATGGTCCGTTATGGACCGAGAGCGGGATGAGCGTCACAGAAGAGCAACATGGCGGCGACCACCGCAGCGGAGCCCCGAGGCCGGGGATGCTCAGCGAGGAAGAGCGACTTCGCACTTTCCGCCACTGGCCAAGAGACGCGCCGGTCACCCCGGCAGACCTCGCCCGGGCTGGCTTCTACTTTCTGGGCCATGAGGACTCGGTACAGTGCTTCTGCTGCGACGGGGTCCTGCGGTGCTGGGTCCGCGGGGACGAACCGCTGGACGAGCACAAACGGCACTTCCCAGCATGCCACTTCGTTCTGGGGAGAAATGTAGGAAACATCCCGCGACCACCAGGATCCCCGGACTCGGTGGACGGACAGCTGCTGAGCCAGCTCCAGAGGATGGGAGTGGATGAGCAGATAGCCGGCGGACAGGCCGTTTACCCGGAGATGGAGTCCGAGGACACCCGGCTGACCACTTTCCACAACTGGCCAACGGGCGCTTCGGTGCAGCCGGACACTTTAGCGCGGGCAGGATTCTTTTACACAGGTCTGTCAGCCTGGTGCTGTGATAATGACGTGTGACATATTGTGAGATTAATATTCGAACAAGAACATTAAGGGCGCCTGGGTTTGGGTTTCGTTTAGTGATTTGTCCGTCCTTTCGGTTCGGTACAGTAAAGTAATGATTCATTAATGAAACGCTCCGTGAGTCGTTTTGTTTTCCAGCGAATCGGTCGAACCGGTTCACCAGTATGAATGGAATGTTTTTAGCAGCTTCGTAAGGGTTAGACACGCGACAAAATCGAAAAATCGAATCATCGCGTTGTTTTCACAATATAACCTCATTAAATCATGACATATAAAACTGCACACATTGAGGTTTTGTGCATTTCGAGCCTGACTCCCATCAGTGAGCAGCTTAGATCACTGACGAATCGACGCTTTGGAGGAGATTATCAGCGATTCGTTGAATCTGAAGTTCGATTCAGTGATTACTTCGGTTCGAAAGAATCGGTTCTGTGAGTGGAATGAAGCTCCCATCACTAAAGGCAGTGAAACTTTGAGCAGTGGGGCGAGTTCCCCTTTGTGTGCGTTATCACATGGTAATGTGAGCAGAATGCACGAGACCTCGCGAGCTCTACCTCCACTCTGGGGACCTTTTCCAGCCTGGAAAACAAGCTGTGTCTCTCATGGTTCTATTCATGGTGAGAAAAGGAAAGAATCTCACTTTAGACTAAAACTGATAAATGCAGGCTTAGTACTGTTCATACTAACGCGGGAAAATCCCGCTTTACAATATAACTGTGTTAAATGTAGCAATAGTGCTGTTCACTGTGCCAAATGGGAGCCTACTCTGCTAGATAAACCAGCACAGACCAGCAAAACCAGCATATGCTGTGTTTTGTATGCTGGTATATTTGTCAGTCAGCATGACCATGGTGGGTGACCAGCTAAACCAGCACCAAACCAGTATAGATTTGCATGGAATTCGTGCTGGTCTATTCTGTTTTTCCAGTGGGACAGTGCTAAACATATTTAAAAATGAGTAGGAAAAAAATCACACTTCACACTGTAACTGTGACAAATGTTAAATACTATGAAACAGCAAGAAATCGCCAGGAAAGAAATGCCAGTACCAAACAGAAATATTATAGTATGTAGAGCAGAGGTGGGTAACTGATGGCCAGCGTCCAGCACAGGTAGCTGACTTCCTTGCTCAAACACTCCTGCTGAGCCTGACAATTAACTGATGATTAAGTGTGTTTGAGCCGGAAAATCACCAAACTGTGCTGGAATCCTGCTCTATAGGAGAGAAGTGTCCATCCCTGCTCCAGTAAATACACAACAGAGAAATAAGGCAACAGGGGACACATTAAGAAATAAGTGTTCTTTCTAAATGAGCTAATACTGTATAGGAAGGATAACAAATACAGTAGGTCAGGTGTGAATCTTTAAGAAAAATAGCATGTGTCAATATCATCTGATGTCCCTTTAATCATGAATCCACCCAACAAAGGCTTTATACACTGTATCAAAATCATCATTGAAACAGGTCAATATTAGAAAAAAATCATGACCAAAGCAAAACGTTCCATCAGTTTGAAACTGCTAGGTTCTCCTGATATTTCTGCACTGTTCAGTAGGTTGTTGCTCTCAGATTGGCAGCTACATATTCCATATTATTGATTATTTGTTTCAGGTCATGGTGACAATGTGAAGTGTTTCTTCTGTGATGGTGGTTTGAGGAACTGGGAGCCTGGAGACGATCCATGGCAGGAACATGCTAAGTGGTTTCCACGGTAAGATGCTCATTCTTTCTTGTGTCATATCGATTTGTCTTTATAACTGAGAAACGTTTTAGATTTTAATTTTAGATTATATCAGGGAGGAGTAACTGATTCTAGCATAATTTAAACCTTTAAATCATCAGAGCCTGTATGTTAGCCTGGACTTCGTAATGTACATATTAGTCCCATAGTAGTTACAAAATAATTTATCTATACTAAAACATCATTGTGTATCAGCAGACTGACTGCAAGAACAGGGAACAGAGGTCAGGGGTTCAAATGTTCTGACTTCTTAAAGTTAAAAAAGACCAAAAACAGTGTATAACGCAATTCATACAGAGAAGATTTTGGTACTGTTCTAAAAACGTGTTTTATATATAAATGTTCAGAGCTTTGCACTCATTTCTTTTTTCTTCTGTTGGTTTTTGCCACTTCAGATGTGAGTATCTGCTTCAGTCCCGAGGGCAGGAGTATGTGAACAACATTCAGCAGTCGTACTTCAACATGTCAGAGACGGTAGTGTAAACTTATTCTGCTGCTCAGCTACTTGTACTGAGATGTAAGTCAGTCATCTTTGAGGATAATCATGTATGTGTCTGTTTCACAGGGTGGATCTGAGACTTCAGCTGCTGCAGATATAACCTCAGGCCACGGTAAGTGAATCCATGTCCTGTGATAAAGAATGAAGCCAGTAAAAATAAGAAAAGAAGAACTAAAAACAGGACAGTAGATTCTGGCTTCCTCAAAGCAGTGCAGTGTGACAGTCATCTTAACTGTCAGAGACAGTGTCGCTCTACCGTTTCATCATGATCACAACACTTTTGTTGGTTTTGGCAAACTGAGATCAGAACATATGACTCTGTGTCAAGGGTGGGAAACTGAGGGCAGCACAGTCTGATGATTTCCCTGCTTGTACACACCAAATAACCCTGGTAATCAAACTATCCTGAGTGTAAACAGGAGCAGACAAATCACCAAATTGTGCAGGAAAATCGGCCTCCAGGACGGGAGTTTCTCTTCCCTGCCTTACGTGATGCAGAAGACACGACCAGCATTACGTAGTTCTTACATTCAGCAGATGAGGAAGTCGTGTTTGTGTCTGGTTAATCTTCACAGAAATCTATTTTAAACATTTACAGATTCTGCGATATTAAAATGAAATAAGCAGTGATTTGGTGGCCGATGCAGACACGCACAGGTTCATGTTAATGGTTTATTTCATCGTGTGCTTTTATCATGTTCTGTTTCTCACACTTCCAAATGAAAACCTGCTGCATTATGGTCTAGGAAAGAGAGAGTCTGTAGCACAACCGACATTACAAAATGTTCTTCGGCACGTTGCGCGCAATAATGTATTTCCACCAGAGATATCCTCAAATCTTACATAGTGTACCTTTAAACACGATACCCTGTACCATGTAAGTTGACTCAGAATCTTTGTTAAAGAAAAGAACATATGATAGAACATTGTAATAGTAGAACATTGTAATAGTAGTATTAGTTAATCTTCCTCTTTAATTTGGCCACAAAAGTGCAGTCAGTCTAATGAGTAAGAGTGCAGCTGCGAATGTCACACGACTTTACCGTCTGAGAGTTTGAGGCCATTTGGAACAGTTCGTCTCACCTGATGAATGAGAGCTAAGACGTGTTTTTACTCATGTTCATCCCGAGAACAAAGTCGTTCAAATCTGTAGGTTTTCCAGTAAAG